CTGCAACCTAGCCAACCAAGTTGAATTGACTGCAACCTAGCCAACCAGGCTGTGTTGCCTGTAACCTAGTCAACCAAGTTGTGTTGACTGCAGCCTAGTCGAACAGGCCATGTTAACTGCCACCTAGCCAAACAGGTTGTTTTGAATGTCACCTTGTGTTGACTGCAACCTAGCCAGCCAGGCTGTGTTGACTGTCACCTTGCCAAACAGGTTGTGTTGACTGCAACCTAGCCAACCAAGTTGTGTTAACTGCAACCTAGCCAAACAGGTTTTGTTGACTGTCACCTTGCCAACTAGACTGTGTCGACTGCAATCAAGCCAACCAGAGTATGGTGATTACAATCCAGCTGAACAGGAGCCTATCCTATTTCATGATGTGTGACCCATTAGCCAGCCACCCCTCGTTATTTACCGTTCACCAAATCCCGCTTTGTCAACACGTGCAAACCGTTCACATTTTTTTCACTTTTGATATTACCTATTGATAGCTACACCAGAGAAAGGGTTCACAACATGTGTTCATTTCCGGTTGCAAATGTTGATTGCAATGAGTCGAAATTGATCACCTATCCAACCCGTTCAAACTGCGGGATGTTATTAATAGGTTAAAGACACGCAACTGGCTTTAATGTACCTGTAGAGTAGAATCAATGTGAGCTTTATAGACTTAGTGCGAACAGCACCATTAACAGACAAATGGAACAGCGTCCAAGGAGCCAACGAGATGTCGATTATCCATTCGCTCACATTACAAGCGTTAGGGTCGAAACGATTGTTCGTAGATTCTAGGTGACAGTATAATATTCCCAGAAGATCAAGAAGTTTTGCTGTAGTAACATCACTTTGACCTCCAGAAGGTGACAAGGTAAGTGCAAGAATTCTGATGGGAGGTTTTTCTCTGGTTTTGGAATTTGAAATCCCGATCAGAATGACAGCATGTAATTTAACGGTTTGGACACACCCAGGAATAAATAGTCATGGGAGAAAATATCCACTGTATATATCTGTAGGTAGATAGATAGATTGAAGGGTGCAAGTTAGGGAGGTGGTAAAATGGTTAGGTTGTAGCCTCATGTACGAGAGAGAGAGAGAGAGAGAGAGAGAGATAGCAGTACATACTAACGATGTGACTGTTAACACACAACATGATTTTACCCACATAGCACCACAATCTTACATAGCACTTTATTTAACATGCACTGTACTAGTATGTGTGTGCATATACAACGACGTTAAGAATCACATTAAAGTATGATTTTATTCATTCACACGAATCCTGACTTCGCAAAATATTATTGTACCTTGTTTCCATAGTGGCTATAAGTAATAGACGTAATATAGAAAAAAGCTATGAATAAAGCGGTTCAATGTAGCTGGTATCATTTAACAAAACACATGGCCAGAACAAGATATGCAAATGCCCCTGTAAGCAAATTAAATCACGTAGTGTATAGATTTTAGAATAATGGCGTCATCTGTTGTAGACTAGCATTAATGTATTAAATCTGGATGATTGTGACAGTTTGTAACGTAGTCATCGGAACGCTAATTCTAATGCATTCACTGAGTCTTTTATTTAGCTTAAAATCAAATCGGATGACGGTCATCGATAAAAGTCACTTAGACGAACATAAATGTTATCCCAAAAGACAAATAAAAAACTAATGCGGTGGAAATGGTATTACGCATGTTATTAATGCCGGCATGGATATATAGAGAAGTCTGAACACGACTTAACTCGGCCGTGCTTCACTGCAGAGCATTTATCAGTTTCAATGTTCGCAGTATTCACCCTCCAGCCTTGATTGATCAGAGAAGCTGAAGTACCGACAATATTCCCGTTGTTATGAAGTCAAAAGCAGTATCTAGACAAGGACACTTTCCTATAATCCTACTTTACTGGCGCTTAGAACCAGTCCAATTAATTTAACTGTTTGGATTTAAGATGCACGCGTGCCTGCATTATCGAATATACTTCATTTTCCCCTATAAGTGCAGTACCAATATATGCCATGTGAGACGTGCTTTATACAGTAAAGAAGACCTTTTACTCTACATGGACACATCACCAATATGTTTTTTTTTATTTCAAAGCTGGGTCTCTTACTGTAAGTCCTCGATAATGTAAACAAGTTAATTGTTTCTAGTAACAGTTCACCAAGTAGGCCAACTGCATGAGACCGTCTACACGAACAGCCAAGTCCCGGAGCATGGTGTGTTATTGGCGTATCAGATCAGGTTCGAAACATTGCCATTTCTGTTATCATTGTTTCTTTAAAAAATAACGTGGGAGGAAAAAGACGGATTGCGGAATCACAATTTCTGCGGAGGCCGGTATCGTAGCGAGAAAACCAAACTACAGATTTTGTTGAAAAGTTAATGCGATTTCCTGTAAGGCGGCAGTGGCAAATGCGGAAACGCGAGGCTAAACCCTACTACTCAGACCACAATGTTCGCCAGTATTCTGTTACAAATTTATTGTATCGACTATACTTCAATTTTATATACTATTACAGAGGTCCCTGATATGAGAAGGTTGTTAAGTCCCCTTTACACTGAGCTGCGACATTTGTGCGTCCCTTCTACGACCATGAGCAGGACGCTAGATGGTCGCCAAAGCAAGCAAAGCGATGCTTGTGTCTCCTTTCTGCAACCACAGCAATGCTTCAGCCTCCTCTCTGCCCCCCCCCCCCCCATTAGTCACCTTGCAGCGACCGAGTACTTTTGTACGATTCTTTTGAACATGCGTGTTCAAAACTGCGCCGACCATGGCGTCCACAGCGCACAAGCATCTTGAAGGTCAACGTACCGCCAATGAACCTCCAACGGCCTCCGTGTCAAATTTGTGGCTGCACAAGGGTAACCCTCCAGAGTAAAGTTTTTTTTTTTACCATGAATGCTACAGATAACGAATTGCATCGTTTATCATAGTTGCATCAATTGTCAAATCATCTTGCAGCATTTTTTCCTAATTGTTTAACCTTGGTCTTTTTTCTAACGGTGGACGCATCACAAATGCAATAGAAATACTCATTCCTTGACCAAGATTGTCAGCTCATAATTAATACTTTGCAAAAATGTAAAAAAGATGAATACCATTGCAGTGAGCGAGCAGTGTGTGCCCATTTTGTCAGTCTCAGGTACTGCAGTTCACTGTGCCATTTATGTCCAACTGTAAACATCTATCTTTTTAAACTCTGTAATAGGATATTATGTGGGGGCAAATAAAATTCTGAAGGAATCGCAATATATATATATATATATATATATATATATATATATATATATATATATATATATATATATATGTATATATATATATATTTGATAGAGATGATGATATTATTCAATTCTTTGTTGGGTCAAGCATAAGAGATTATTTCGGCTTATGTTTTTAAAAAAGAAATAAATAAACAAGAAAATGCATAGAAAGTCATATGCCACTTTGAAAAAAGGAATTCTTGTACATGTGGCATTCCATTCTGCTTCGAAATGTCAACCCACAAGATGTCATTAATGATCTATGCGGCTTGGAGCAGCTGGCAGTTTTAATCCCAGACTCGTGGGCGAACCCCCTTACATGTGTATTTGACCTTCATGTATGTGTGTATTTAGTAAGTGACATACATTGCGTATTAAGCATGTGCGCGTGGCGTAAACGACACACTTATGTCCGTAGTGGGTTTAAACTGGCAAACGATCATTTGCCGTGAAATCTATACTACTATCACGCGACTCTCCGTACTACATGTAAACCTCAAAACCGGTGCCTGCATTGAGTTTGTCGTGGAAGAATGCTCTGGAGTGTCTCGTATGTATGTCTTGTGTGCTTTTTCTGTAACGAAATTATGCTTGTTTTAAAAGTGCTCGGTGTCTTACCAGTCAAGTGTATAGTCTTCAATAAAATGATGCGATTCACTCTTTACAGTAAAACTCATATGTTACGCGCTAGTCCCGTTTATTGTCATTGAAATATTCCATTTATATGTATGGTCATTCCAGAGTATAAGAGACAACCGTCTTAGTCGATATTCCTACGGAAGAATTCGTTGACCACTTAATTAAGTCATGCGCCATATATAAGCCACTTAATTAAGTCATATGTCCTATCTAAAGCAGATGGTAAAGTCACATTGTATCCTGTATAATAACGTCACTTTGTCTTATCCGAATCTTAATATACTGTAAGGTTGGTATTTCTGTCACTCGTTCTGAAGTCTTGAAAATGTATTAAATATACGAGTAATGCTTTGGTGGGTGTGGAAAGCATATCTGTGGTTGCCTGAATGTTTATTTGTGAATTTTCAGAAAAATGGCTTTAAAGAAATAAGAGGTGAGAGCGGAGATGTAATTTGGAGGCCACGGTAGCCATCCATACTATACTTCTTTATTCTGTATCATTTTATGCATGTTTTGGATACGCATATGGTGTTGTTTTAATTGCCACAAGTTAAGGGTCATTCAGAACAGTGGACTAACTAGTCCAAGAGCCAAATCTGGCCGACCCACTTGAATACTCCCCCACAGGATATCTATTCAATGTCTATGAGTGGATTCGACGGCAAGCTTTGTAGTGGGTCGCCATATTTGACCCTCGGACTAGTTAGTCCCCTATTCTGAACGGGTCCTTAGATAATTAAGTTCTTTACATTAATTCATTCAACTGCACGGACCCCATTATACTTTTTAACGTCAATTGAGTCCTTCACTTTGTTTTTGCTTGCAAAAGAAGGTGAAGCACCCTCTTCTCCAGCTGTACCGGAATAAAGTGTTCAGCATTTCAAACATAAAGATGTAAAAACTGTGATATGCGCTAGACCTAATCAAGTGAGTTCTTATATTCTATGTGTAACACAGCTTTGTTTTTTCACATTAAGTCCACATCTTCTTCTTCTTTATCGATCTGACGTTGCATGACTTGGGCAAATCCTGGGAAATTGTAAGTAATCCAGGAATATGGAAGTTTCCATCTGATGAGGCCTATGTCTTTAACCTTTCAGGTACGGAAGGCAGACCGCGGCATACATATCATTTTAATCAATACGCCATCGATTAGCTCCCAACCCAATGTCCGGGACTACCTAAAGCGGAATCTGGCGTACTGAAAATATCTGGTACAAGGTAATGTAATATAGTGTGAGGTACTATAATATAATATAATATAATATAATATAATATAATATAATATAATATAATATAATATAATATAATATAATATAATGTAATATAATATAATATAATATAATATAATATGACTCACGAAGACATTCAGAGAGCACACACAACGTAATATAACATAGGTCAAAAAGTTAAAAAAAATATCAAGAGGATTAAGCATAAGTAAAGAAGAATAGAAGAATAAATAGAATAAAATAAAAAAGATGGAGTAAAACAAACATACGCTAAATAAGGTCTGTAAATGGAGATCCTTCCTTTATTAAAAAGCAAAAAAGCTCTTTACTAAACGCCGAGTATTCTATTGGTGTGTGTAATCGAAGGCTGATCGTACATGGCTTATGCGGGAAATGAACAATGGATTTTATCAAGCCGTGAGTTAAAAGCCACGAGGGCAAATCTTTCTATGGATTACAACTATGAAGATATTTTAGGTCGATGAGTTATTACAGAGCAATTGTCCCCATCAGAAATGTTTGAGGAAATGAAATCTTGAAAAGGATATACACCCGTTTTCTAATTCTTTCACAACTGCAAAACGTTGTTTCGATCTACCCAGTACAATGACACAGTTAGGTTTTCTTTACAATCCATTGCTAGACAAGTGTTTCTCACGAGTAACGATGTCACCCCTAATGAAATATAAATAATATACACAAACACCTGCAAGACCGCATGCACGCACACACGCACACACACTCACACACCTTTTCACGCGTAATCTGTCCTGTCGCCTTTCACAGCGTTCACGACGGAGTGGCTGCATATAATTAACATTCCAAAAGCCACCTGTCACCCGTCACCCTAGTGTCCTTTGCACCGGGCAGTACTGACGCTTTTCTGCCTACTCTACCTCCTGGTAACTGGTTGCAATTTTGTACCCGTTCCGGGTATTCTCCAGGGTGTAGCCTGGACACTGTACAAAACAACAATAGTATACATCCCTGAAAGCCGTCTAGCTCTTGACCCTAGATGTGAAAATTGCCAGTACGTTTCATAATTCCGAGTTGTTGAGATCACCCATTTCTACCCACATTATAGTGCACTTCTAAACGGTAATGACATTTTCATATACATTACATGTACGTGCACTAGGCAAGATAAGAAAAAGTATGTTCACGTAATTCATCAAAAGGGAACAGCTATAGGTGATGGACGAGGGGCACTTTTATTAAAGTATATTATTAATGATATTTATCACATTTTGATAAAACTCATTAGAGACACGGTGCGTCAAAGCAACTTGGAGACGACAAAAACTGGTCCAGCGAACCGACGTCATCATAAGCGTCTCTCCTAAAGTACCGTCTTCATTGATGCTCGGTTTAGGCTTGCAGGAAGATTAAGAATTCATGGCGTCTTAAGTACTCTATGTGAGAGTTAAATGCAGTTTGTGATTTTTTACGTTAAGCAAATATTTCATGCTCTTGCAAGAAGAATAGTAAAAGCCATATCAGGTCTTAATGTGTTCACTAAGCTGATTATGTATATGTGTGTATATATGCGTAAGAAAAAAAGAAAGTATGAACGAATAAAAAAAGAAGGAAAGGGAATTGGGGAGGTGATAACAATAACATAACATGTTACTTTTAACTATTTGAGTCATGCTATTGTTTATTTTTTGAGCAAAGTCCTCGTCAGAGACTGAAAATCGAAAAAGCACTAATTCGCTGAGGTGACAACCGCTTGCTTCTGGGAATGTTTATTCAAAGACATTTAATGGCGTTATGAGTCGATCAGAAGTCGTGTACTTTAATTCATTGAGGAATGGCTTTGAATATTGGTTCGATATTTCTGCGTGATTTTATGACCCGAATAATGTGTGAAAACTGTAGTATAAGCGAAGTGTTTGTGATGCATGTATTCTCGTTTTCGTTCAAGTGTAAGTACAAGCTGCATTTTAACTACCAGGGTGTCTGGCGAAATTTTCAATAGGCTTTTGCCATTTTTGACTTAGATGTTCTATGTGTACTTAAGGCTTAGTATTTAGATGTCAGTTTTCAAGGAAATTGCCACTCATTTTAGCCAGTGGAACAGCTTAACAAAATGGGAAGTGGTTCTTATCAATAAGCTTAGCAATTGAATTTAGATGTAAAAAATTGGACACCGTCAACACTCGGATGCTTCTGTGGAAATTGAAAAAACATAAGAGCAGCAACAAAAATGCCATAGAACACACAATTTTTGTAAATGCTAGCACCTCCAATGGCACGCATCAGTATACTTGACAAGTTTACAAAAGCCGAGGAATGTTTTGAAAAACACACGCCCTACCTAAATTCACGTGGTAAATCAAGATACATGTATCAAGACATATGTAAACTTGATGCCCCCTGCCGAAATTTCTAGCCCAGCTAAGAATATCGACTTTAAGCCACTGATGTCATGATTCGTTTCCGTAGATGCCGGCCAGCAGAGTGAAATCACCAATGTGCTAAAAACAAAACAAATCAACTACTCTCTTCTTTTGAATTTCCTGTTGTTTCTATGAGCTTGAAATCGTATTAAGCACCCTCAAATAAACCCGGCGCCTCAAGCTTACAGCTTCCGAGTACGAATTCTGATTTTGTTTGAAAGAATGGATAGTCACCAGATTGATCATACTACATGAGGCCATTTTGTTTGTTTGTTTGTTTGTATGTTTGGGTGGGGATTTATATCATGTTTTATAAAATAAAATATCGAATACATGGATACTCAATAATAGGGTGTTATACTCTACTTTTCTAACTGGCGAAAAGGCTGTCTCAATTGGAAATTTACGAAGTATTTCTAAGTTAAGAGCTCCAAAGAGACATTGTGGAGAGTGCCAGAAAAATCTCACTGATTTCATTTTTTCGCACCACATTTTTTGAATGCCAACCCCTTGCTTTCGCTGAAACCATACAGGTAATTGCTTTTGAAAAGAAGACATTTACATTTGCGACCATGTTTGACGTATATAATGGCACTATAACATATGTTTACAGGACTATATATACCAAAACGTAGTGTGCCACCTCGCTGCAGAATTTCTTCGAAGTACTTCGATGTGTATCGCCATTTGCAGTAGACATTGCACGTTTTCATCATTTTTATCAGAGCTCACAGGGAGACCTTACAAATAAAACCACATTGAATTCCAGGACATGTCTCTCTGCGCGTTCGGGGATTATATTATCTCATGTTTGCAAAAGCGAAGAAGATTAAAAAGCTGGCGGGTTTCATAGTCCGGTTCACGGGAAATTACGTCCTTTGTCGTACGAATGTAGGTATTCTTCTTCTTGTTAACTGCAGAGATAAATAGCAAACCCTAAGAGGCAGATTCACTTAGGCAGCCACAACAAAAGATGGTAGGAACATTTATTTGGGGACATTTCATCTGCCCAATCGTCTTTGAGATGTTCAATAATCTTTTAAGCCGCCCATAAAAAGAAATCAAACGTTTGAGGACTTGACTGAATTGTGTTGGCATGTTCAAAGTGAAGCACAGGGTCTAGCTGTCCAAACCAAATAGCAAACCATACAACAACAGTTAATCTATTCTGTAAGTTATTAGGATATCTACGTAAACAAAGCCGATCAGGCCACGTAAGTAGCTTTGACTAGAGCACCAATAACTACCATCTGCAATCTTTTGCTGATCGTTTCTAAATCTAAACCGAATATTCTGAAATAGATATCAATGATTATAACCATTAATTTTGTTTTAAGACGTTTTATTTTCCGGTTTCAATAGATGTCGAATGGAATTGCTTCCCGTTTTCGCTGACCTATGAATAAAAGAAATATTTAATAATACTGATCAATGAAATAGATTGCACATTTTTTGCGGCGACTCATTCCAAACGTGATTTTGATTAGATATCTGTAACACATAATTGGGTATTCATTAAATCGGATTGGAAACCACTACCCATGTCAGAGCAAAGAGACTAAACAGTTACGAAAACCGTTCGCACGTCCCCCTCAATCTTCAGTGTTTCGCCTCATTGGGTGTGTAATTCCCCCAAGGCGCTGGCTAGATCAGTTTAGGAACGTCGATACATTAATTTTACGCCTCTCATTATGATAAAACACCTTACCGCTAATGAAATGTCGAGAGATTAATTATTCAATTATCCTGCATTTGTTCATGTAAGTCATATCTGATGCGGCTTTTATTTTCGACAGTATTCTCTGTTTTCTATGCTCGTGTAGTTTAATGAATGACAAAGTGATATTATGAGTAATCGGCCAACGCAGTTCATAATATAGGGATATTAAGAGAAATTTGTGCAATATTAATACGGAGCACCGTGCATCTTTAACGGTTATGTAATGCAAGCGGGATATGCCGTCAATATTCATTTTTCGGTTTTACATTTAGATACAGTTAACTTCGCTTTTTATATAACACGCAAGAACCTGTAAACCACCTACGGTGGTTGGGATAAAAGGGGGTTTAACAAAACGGGGGAGATGAAGCTGAAAGTTAACTGTGGCCTGTTGGGATAAAGCGCAAAGGAAAAAACAGAAGGGATCTCCATTCAAGCCATGCCACAGATTTTCTTCTTGTTTTAACTCTTGTTGTGTGCGCTAAAATTCCATTTTTTAAAAACCGTTGACCCCAAGACACCGGAGTGATTAAACTGGATTTCGTCTACGAGTACACGATAACAGTTATATTTAGGCACAATTTTATGTTTCAGATTGCTGAAAGAGAGAGCTAGAGAGAGAGAGAGAGAGAGAGAGAGAGAGAGAGAGAGAGAGAGAGGGGGGGAGGGGAAATCGGGGTCTCAATGCAGTCATGGTAACAAGAAAAAATATACTTTATCATAACATATTAAGATTCACCTGCTTAGCTTGATTTCAGAATCTTAAGTAAACATAATAGCCAAGACTGATTTTTTCTGGGGGCCAATATTTTCATAAAGAAATGTCAGAGGCACTCTTGTGAATAAGACTAGAAAATAAAAAGTCTTTATGACCATTTCGTTAATTTTAGTATACAAATGATTCATTCAGCATGCAAATTAATCACGAATTTGATTTGTTTACTGTTATGCATTCCCTTTGTAAATGAATCATCTCAAAAAAGCTCTCATGTGAGTCGAATAAAAAGAGAACATCCCATGATAAAAGAATCAGATATTCGATTACAAAAAACCATCATGCAGTATAGAGCATTCGAATTATTAGAATTACCTGATACACACACACACACACACACACACACACACACACATAAATAAAAGATAAAATTTTGCCTTGTAACGCCGCTTTAACTATTTATACGTGCACAGGTACTTAATTTTCCACAAGCGGTTTATTAATGTTTGATTATGATACAAGTGAAAAAATTGCTCTCGAGATGGGTTTGGTAGCGGATTCATGTAAACACAACAACATGGATGTTAGTTTATCCAGGCCACCTGCCTAATAAGATGCATGATTTCAAAATATGCATTAATTCATGGTACAATGTATATTGGAATAATAAATAGAGTTGAAAACATTGTCAACCATTCGGACAGTTATTATGATCTCTCTCTCTCTCTCGTGCGTGTGCGTGTGTTTGTGTGTGCGTGCGCGTGAACTTGACAACTCCAGGACTACCTCACATGACTCTTTCCTGACCAGATTTCTGTGGTTGTTCAACAATGATAAGATGAGCACGCATCAGAAGCAATTGCTACCCAATCTCTGCTTTAAACGCACCCGGGGAGGCTAGGGGGGTCTTTATTGCCATTAGTCTCATTTGATGGATATTGCCTGGATTTAATAGGCTGCAAGCAGACAATGAACATATTGTTGGGTTATTAGTTTCAACTGTATTGGGAAGCCGTATATACACCAGAGATTGAAAATGTGGTAAACAGTAATAAGTCTAATAATATGACTTAGTTCCAACATATTGTCTCGAAACTCAATATGTACATAATGTATGCAGGGTATGACATAAACTTTTACCAACGTCATGTCTTTGTCTTTGACTCATATATGTCATGTTATTGTCTTTGACTCACGAATATTCGGACAAAATATCGCTGTAACACCCCTGTGTCGCTCAATGAAGGCGTTAGTCTAGACTATAAACACATCGACGCCTTTTGGAAATACAGAGTTCTCCTCACCTTTGAAAGCGTGTAAGAATTCGGACCAGGTAATGTATTTGTTGAAATAAGGCTGTGCGCAGTGGCATTTCAGGTGACCAAAGAGATGACGGAAAGTTAAAGAACTATTGTACATATGCATGAAATGCTAAATTATATCCTTAGCATTATCATATTCACAAATTATTTTAAGATTATTTCAATTATTCAGGTTTTTAACTAACGGATTTTCAATTTTGAAGTCGCCTATCCTTTCTTATTTTATTTTAAAGCCAGCTAGATTTTTATTAATGTTTCTCTTCATACATGTAGAAAAAATGTAACCCCAAGATGCTGTTTCTTTTCTACCAGTCCAAATGAAGTTACCGTGAGCTTGTCCTACATTTAGACGATATTGATTGTCATAACGCATGCGTACCATAACAACACTTGTTGATGACTTCATTAGACCACACTTATATATCATATTTCATCCACGGACGAAAATCATTACGATCTTCAAATTAATTATCGACGGACTTCTCGTGTCCCCGCTCTATCGATATTATAAAGAAATTATTCTTAGGACTATTCTTAGCCAGTGATTTAATTCACCTAAAATTATATTCCAGAATATAATTTACCAACAGAAGCTGGACCCATGCAGTACAAATTGCAATAGATTAAGCAAGGTAAGCGTTAGCAATATTGTTTTATATGAGATAAATGCAATATACTGCCAAGGTGTTGTAGCTTGTTCTGGATAATCGTTGTTTGTTCCTAAAAAAAACAAAAAAAAAAACAAATTCAGTAGCACAGTGAAACATTTTAGGTTTAACTGGTGGGCGTGTAGCCATGTTTTTGTCTGACATGTCCATGAAATAACCAACTGTTATTCTTGTTTTTGGAAACGGACATTATTACTGCTATCTACATTTTTGTGATGCAGACTTTCCATTTGTTAACTTTCATCTTCTTTCTATTTAATTTGATTGGGAATCAATGATGCAGCACAGCAGAGCCTTACTTTTAAGGGTTCTATTTTCTATGTTTATAAGCACTTGGAAGAAGGCTACAAACCTTGACCCGTTGTTGTGTGCAAATTTTTACGCAAACCATGCGGTTTTTCAAATCAGATTAACTAATTTTAACAAAATCAGTTCATATATTTCAGTATTTAAGAAAGACACGTTTCATGACACTGTAATCCGCCAATTGAGTGATTGACCTCCTATCTGTTCTTTCCGACGGAGATGTGTTTTTTCCAGAACTGAAAGCACCACACACTCTCTGTTTTATCTTAACTTAACGCTTGCACTTTGCAGCGGGCTTAATAAGACGTGGCACACATTTGTTGACTAGACTTATCAATCTTGGTGGGTGAGAACATTGTTCACGCACGTGCAACCATGGCTTAAATAGCGAAATGCTGTCAAGGGGACTTTTAAACTGGTCATGCATCTCGAGCTTCAGTCTTCCCAGGGGCTGCCAGGGATACGTTTTCAAAGTAACCAGCACTTATATATCTAGTTCAATGATTGCCAGCGGCACTTACGTCAAGGCGTGAAAACACTTGGAAAATTAAGGCTTGTCAGAGACGTGAGTGGTCCGGACTGATATCACAGATAAGGGCAATAACAAGGGTCATTTATGACACTAATAACAAAATCTATTCTGTCAATCCTAATCTTCCAGAATTGCTATCACGTCAATCTACGTATGATTGCCGGCTTTGCCACCATGCGCCACGCGGCCGCTTTAACCGTTAGCCTGGGCATTTGTTACTAAGAATATTCGAGGAAGAAAGATATAGATTTCGGCCCCCTTAATGTTAATATATTAGATGTATGCTACTAACATTGCAAATTGAAAGTAGACATTTTGGACAAGTGACCCGCATGTCGTCAGATGCGTCAAACAGATCCTTCTATAGCCGTCAAGAATGCAACTGTTCCGTCTGAAACTTGTCATCTACGCATGAAGGTTGGGGCGCTCAACTTTGTATGAGTATAAGCAGTTATACGGAGATATTTGCCTGCTCCTTTATATTTCTGTTTATACTTATACAAGTATAGTGTTTCAGATGCGGCTATAGTTGTAGCAAAGGCTTAATTACCCCAAAGTGTGAGTGCGAGATATTTTGACAAACAGGCCTCCAGCTGACATCTACTTCAGAAAAGAAAGCTTGTAAACATATTTGCAGCAATTTAAGATCCAATATTACTCGTTCCAAAGACTCGGTTTGAAACGATCAGGCGATATTACTCTTTAAGGACTTTTTATGTAGTTCAATAGTTTTTATGCCATAATTAGCCGTGACGTGGTATAACTTCCCGTAAAACCAACATTTAATGGCGGATTGAGGTAGAGATTGGCAAGTCATTTGATTAATGCAACCGAGAAATAACCAAAGAAACGTAACACCTTATTTTACCGGAACATCACGTTAACTGAGGGGAAATAAAACGCGGACTAATGCTCCACGACATGTCAAATTCATTGAAAAAAACGATGAATATTGGATTCTATTGGCATGAATGTCATCTGGATCAGAGTTATGTACATGCTTATGTATATGTGTATAGTCTTTCAATTGGTGTCGATGTGAATTCTCCAAACATACACAATATTTGTGATAGAAGTACGTTCTTTTAAATAAACTAAACTAGAAAGAGTATTTTAATTGTTCGCCGGGAAAGGTCTATTTGCCGCATGAGAGTAATCAGTAGAGTCTATCACATGGCGCTATTTTTCGCCATTGCTGACGTGACAAACACTGGCGCCCTCTGAAGTTAAAAAGCTGTAGCTGGGAAAACATTATCCCTCAATTCCGTATTACTGTACAGGCCATGGGATTCTTTAAATTTAAAAAGACATTATATTGATTGTATTTATCAGGGGATAAGTAATTATTGTCCTAAAAATGTGTGTTTCATTGAATTTTTAAAAAACTCGAAAAAACTTTTTAAAAAATTGAAAATCTAGAAATATGCGTGTGTTAATTTTTGGCCTCTTTGCAACCCCACAAACGGAATTTGTGCAAAATTGTTTGTACTGTAAATAAAAACTTTTGCTGACTCATTGCATCATAATTTTTAGGATGATGAGTCGTATTGAATATTTGATATATAACTTTTATCCCTTAGGCCGTAACATTTATAACAGGCAACAATTTGTTACATTGTTAGTATAGTGGGGTTATATAATAAGTGCGGCCTTGTTCGGCCAAATATCGAACAACCAATATTCTTTGTTCCCTTCTTTCTTGTTGTGAATGGAATTATGAAAGTTTGTGGTGCACTAGGAAGGAGGATGAGACATAAAGGTTCTATACAAAATAACCAGCAGATGTCTAGATGTCTTTAGATTATCCTTAACTCGATCATAAGACCAAGCAAAAACTACATAACGTACATACACGATACGTATTATGAAAGTATATCCCTCTTCATTTAATGGAGGCCTACAGCACACAAAACATAAATAGCAGCATGTACCCAACACAAAATATAATTTTTTTCCTTACAATCGCTGTCTCTCAGTGCATATTATTCATTTTGTATCTTAAACATTCGATGTGTTATTATTCATCTGTCCGGATTATACACAAAATTGACGTGGATCATTAACTGTTAGAATATAAATAATCACATCAGGGTCGGGCATCGACCAGTGTGATCAAATACCTCATTTTTCGTCAATATCTGTTTCGGCGAAAGAAGGAAATTATTAGCCGTTTTTAATCTAGCGGCTGATAGTAGGGGTATAATCTGGATCATCTGGTTTTAAAATCAGGACTGGATGCTCCAAAGGTCTTAGACGCCGAGGCAAAGCAACGGGTTACTAAAACGGTTGTTCCAGCGTATAATGTATACAGATTTGTAGAAATGTCTTGCAGCGCCTTGTTCTAGAATCTATGAAATGGTCGGGCACAGTCCTGTATATATACTAGATTCTCATTTAATTTACGCCTTGTTTTGTGAAATGTCATGTGGCTTGACATCTCGTAATTAAAAATATAAGCATTTTATTGTAACTGTCAATTCATGAGACTTACTTTCTTATTATCGCTTGCAAGGTTTAACTATCAAGTACTTTATTATACGTATGGGTGACTGCTACTCTATTTCGCTTGTCGTGTGTATGAAAGAAGTCAGTTCGAATTAAAAAGAACTTACTGAAATTTGATCTGAGAGTCAGTATTTTCTTTTCATAATGGTTACATTTTCATTATTTTGATTATTAACTGTCAAGTTAAAGTCGAAGTTAATGAGATGTCACTATTAAACAAGTCCTTGGTGTCAAATGCTGTTGCTCGCCAGTCAATCACAAGGTTGCGTCTCGAATAGCTGTCAAATTACTGTCAGCTTTGATGGCGCGGGTTCATACATCTTGGATGCGATCTTAGGTTACTTTGACCGCCATTTTTTAAAGTTGCTCGTTTATCTCTGTACAGTTTATTAAATCAAATCACGACCCTTGGATAGCTTACTATTTCAAATATACGGACAGACAGATAGACAGACGGACAGACAGGTTTACGGACGGACAGACGGACAGACATAAAGGCAAATAGACAAATACACAAACGCAAACGGGCATCTGCTTAAATTCACAACACACTTAGTCGTGGTAACTGTCATTACGAAACAAGTACGTTAACGTGGGTGGAGTTTTGGAACCGGTTATCTTTATGAGAAACAAATGGGTCTTTTACTGAAATGCCGTATTGCTATAGTTACGCGCTAATATAAGAGATGGAAAATAAATGAGATCATGCTTTATAACAGTATGACTTTGACTACAGACAGATCGATGCGTCACAGTGTGGCAGTGTAGAGTGTGTATTTAGCATCTGCTCTGCAACACAGGTGATATTGTCTTAATATCTGTGGGTAACCGTCATGTCAAATTGTTCAATTGACACAGTGCTGCGAAATAGAGACAAGAAACTGCAAAAGACGATGGGTTTTATACAGTTGGTACGACAAATAATGCAGGCTATATGTCCTATCGGTATCTGATATCCTGCTGGCAGAGATGTGCGTATAGGGATTCAACCATAGTGTAACCATATATTCCCATCTGTTCATTTATCAAGGTATTCTGTACAGATCTAATGGAGGCAATGGTCTAGGGGCCCATTAAATATCTAGAGCAGGTGTTTCCTACTCCTTGACTTTCAATCAAAGAGGCTGAGAAAGAAGGTGCTAATTTAGTTGTCTCTCTGAATTCGTGACAGTATAAATAATTGGGATATGTCATTGCTGTTCAAAGTGTAGTCTTATTTGTGTTATAATAATTTGTCCAAAATAAAGGTCGTGAATTAAATGCAAGCGATTAGCTAAACATGTATCGGTTATTGTATTTTTTGCCTTCTGTCCTTGGGAAAGATGAGCACATAAGTGCTACAGATAGTAACAGCGATAATAAAATGTCTCATTTCTCACAAAATGTAATAGCCAAGTTGGCGTTTAGAAATTGTGTTGATTTTCTCCACAGATAATAGATTTGCAAATTAAATCCACAGAAGCCCATATTGTGAGTGACATGGAACTTACAATAAGAGAGCAAACATAACGTCTTAGGGTCTTGTGAGAAGGTATGGAATTCCCATAGTGTGCACGCCGATTTGACAAATGCCCAGTTAACGGTATCTGCATGGTCGCGTCCTCTGTACATTGAGATGTGA